GGGGAGGGAGTGGGGGCCTGGGAGTGGGCATCCGCTGCACGGGTCAGGTCCCAGCAGCTCCGCGGCTCAGGATTCTCAGGTTCGTCCTGGCGGTGCGTCTTTTTTGCTCTATTCGGGATTGAAATTTATATGAAATGAAATTAAATTTACACTTCTCAGGCGCTGTCCTGCCGTGTCCTGCCCTATCCTGCTCCTTGTCCTCTATGATATTCCCTGTTCGCAGCAGACGCTTGACACAAATGAAGCTATTTAAACTGGAAGCGCATTATGCGGAACGAAGGATGGCCACGGAGAGGCAGTCAGCGACCGAGTGGACGAGTGGACGACTGGACGGGGCTGAGAGCATGAATTAACTTCGACGGTGAACAAAGTAGAGTCAATCCCCCCAGTGATAGTTAGCAGAGAGTGTGCGCGCTTTCCATTAGATGGTCAAGATCACTTCAATGGGCATCCGCGTCAGCATTTCAAGCAATATGATTTAGTATGCCATCTAAGGACCTCCCTCCAATCGGTTCAGGTCCTCCTTTCCTCTCCTCTCCTCGCAAATTCATTTATGAATAGTGCCAGCTCTACCTTATCCTCTCTCAAATAATTGATAACTGTTCGACGGGAGAGATAACTTATTCAAATTAACGTTGACCCCGACCCCGACCCCGACCTTCAGCCTCCGGCAACTCCGATGCACACTCTACTCCTCTCTCACCTGTTTAATCGAAAATTTACATATAAACTGGCTTGGAAAGGTCCTCATCCCATTCCCATCCCTATCCCCATCACCATCACCATCGCATCTCCATCCCATTCAGCCGCAGAAAACAATATACATAATAAACATCTCATCAAGTTCTGAGGGAGAGCTGGCAGAAAAGTGAATACACTTCAGGCCAGACCTGGAGTTGGCGTTGCTGTTGGATTGGGGTGGAATTGGGGCCGGATTGGAGTGGCGGTGGGGCTCGTAAGTGGATTGCTGGGCTGCTGAATGCGTGTGCAGAGTGGTGAAATTAGGCAAATGTTGAGAGTTCGAAAACCGGGCAAACATTTCCCAAAATTAAGCACAGATACATACAATCGGCAGCACACACGCAAACAAACAAACAAGCAGCGAGTAAAAAAGCTTTCAGCGAGCAATGGAGAGCGATAAAGCGGGAGAGATAGCCAGAGGATTGCCTGTTTGCCGAGCCAAAATCCAAACACACTCCATCGCGTATACGCATGGTGGGTCGACCATCAAGTATACGCATGCTGAGCGCTTGCTAAGGAGGTGGTAGGGGGTATCTCCCTAAGCACACATCCGAAAATTTCAGATCGAATTCTGTTGTGGACGTACACGAAATCGTACGCTTATAACCGCTTCAGGAATAAATCAATTAAATCGTATTACATTTTTCATTTCACCATTTTCCTCGTTACCGATGCCAAAATTTCCTCCTCAATTTCCATAGCGAAAAATGAAAAGCTGAAAATATTGACCCTACCCGCAAAACTGTTGGGAATTGGTCGGTCTCTGCCCGCTACCCGCTGCCCGGTCACTCCTCCTTTCCACTGACCCAAATGACGCGTCCGCAGAGGGACAGAGGGACAGAGGGACAGAGGGACCGAAGGACCGACGGACCGGCTGGGCGGAGCTGCATCAGGATCTGGGGCGTTGAGGAAATGCTGTTTGCATTTTGCGCATTTGACGAGCGAGCATGTCCCACGGCCACATCGGTCTCTCGGACTGCAATATTATTTCCAATTTTCGTTTTTATACCCTGTTTTTCGTCGACTACCAGGGCATAGTCCTCCTACATGTAGATTGGAAAAGAGGTAGCCTTAATGTGGCCGTGGTGCCTGCCGGATCAAGGGGCAGGTATCACATAGTCGGTATAATCGAAGTGGCGGCCAGTCTCTGGTTTCTTTTTTGGTCTTTTTGGTCAGGGCAAATGCATCATTCATTTGCCCCGAGCCCGGCCACTTGAGCAATTAGGCACACATCGAAGGGCACTGCTGCACTGCTGCACTGTGCACTGGGAGCGGACTCAATCGAATTTGCCACCTTTCGATATTTGTCCACTTGCAGCTGTCACAAATTGCCCCAAAAAATACGAATACGAATACGAGTGCGAGTTCGAGTATGCCAGAAATGTTGTCCTGACAAAGCAATTAAATTTCAAACCAGTAGTGCCGCTGCTGCACCTCCCCCTCCCCCTCCCCTGACACAGATACAGATACAGATACGGATACAGATTCGGAAGCAGTATTCAGCATTCGAATCGGCATCTATACGAGTTTAAGCGTATCAATCATGTAATGGCACTCCGTGTGGGAATGCAATCCACTGAATGATTTATTGCCGAGCCACCAACACCGACATGCAACCAAACAGATTCTGGCCCTGCCAATGGAGACTTTTGATTTCTGTTTTCCGATTTTTGATTTTTGATTTTCGATTTCTGATTCGAGATGCCTTTTGATTGCCGGCATTCGACATTTTTGCGGAATTCGCAAAATGCACTTGTTAAAGAATTTCCAAGCGGTTAAGCCTTTTGGCAGCCTTGCACCTGGGAGAGGCCTTCAAGGAGGAGCGCAATGCTTGAAAATGTTCCACTTGCATCAGGCAGTTCTTAAGTGTCTCGGGGACCTATCGTCGGCGTTCGCGTGAGTGCAGATTGATAAAGGCTACCCCCTCCCCAAGTGTATCTTTTGCAGTTTAAGCACAGGTGTAATATTATTAATCAGCTGGAAAGAGGACAAAGTTCTGGAGTAACTTTGCAGGAGTACGTTGCCTTGTTTATTAGCGTGGCTCTATCCTTAGTTACGCACCACAGTGATCACTTCTCGCAGGGTGTACTCCTGCATTCTGCTTCCTAGAGCAACCATTTCCATCTCCACCTGGCTGTGGCTGTGGCTGTCGCTGTGGCTGCGGCTGTGGCTTGGGCTAGCAGCCACGCGCCTGTTAAGCCGAGAGTGAAACCCGACGTTGCCAGGGTTATTAAACCGCTCGGCACGTTGCGGTTACCCCATCAAGCTGGATATGGCGCTGACGAGTACTACGACTACTACGACAAGGATGACGACTAAGCCAAATAAGCAATTTAAAAGCCACAAAGTCAGAGCCAAGACACAGGCTGTGGCTGAGGCTGCAAGGGAACGCTCGAAGGAGACCAATTTCAGCTAAATGGAGCAGAGGACATGAAACAGACGAGTATGGAGTCTGGTTACAGGCCTTACAGGTGGTGCCTATTTCTTACAATTTAAGATCCCCCCTTAAAGATGTACATATATCAAGTTGTTCAGCAATTTTCCTGGGTCGTTTTCGTTTTCCTACACAAAAAAAAGGGTAAATTTCCACTCTGGTATTTTAAAAAATCTGTGAAAAATCTTTGGAATCTTTAGCCAAAACTCATTCCGTGAGAATGGGGGATAGGCCCAACCCTTGGCTCAAAATGTGAACCCCATCCCCTATATCCACACCGCTTTGCACCTCTTTTCACTCCCCCAAAGTTAACCCGAAAGAAAAATCGATAAACGAAAATTGCTGAAAATAAAAAAACAAGTCGCATAAATATCAGAAAAGTTGGGAGAAGGGAGATGGCTCTCTGCCCTCTCTCTCTTTTTTTCTGCCTTTCATAAATGAAGGGACAGGGTGCTGTGTGGATGGGTGGATGGGTGGGACTTTGGAGGCAACTTTGCCTTTTGTTTTCGGATCTTTTTGCCGTAATTCCCTTTTTATGGCCAGCTTGCAGCGCAGTCGGCACTGGCAGCGACGCGTCAATGCTGTTCCGATAGAGATATTGCCAGGAGACAGGACACCCAGGAAAAGGGCAGAACAGAACAGAACAGAACAGGACAGGACAGAAGGTGGCGTCAAAGGATGCGGCTCGGGATGAGCAGCGGCAGGACACAAAGAGCTCAAAGTTTTGCTTTATTGTTTCCAAAATGTGCCAAAGTAGAATAAACAAAAGAGCCGCCAAAGACAGATGTTGAATGGCAGTCGGGGAGAGGGTTTCCTGCCAAGGGGGATGTCGGCGTGGATGCCAGGCTGGTCCAAAAGGATTCCGCCTTGGCTCCTGCCCGATTCAGCATGTGCTCCATCCACCCATTAAAAGTTCGCCCACACCGGTGTTGTTCCACAGGCAACGAAATGAAAACATCAGCGGACCTAAAGTCAACCCAAAACTCACCTCTGCCGCCCCCTCCTTCGCACGCCCCCCGAAAACCCCATTCCAACCGAAACACAGCCAACTTAACGCGTTTCTCCCCTTCTGCATCTGGAAACCCTTTAGCGACCAATCCCCTACCGCAAAATACTACTCTGTTCCGCATATGTACTTCTCTTCCACTTAGAATCCCACCGATCACATGTAGCTACTGCCATCTCTTCGAGACAGGCCTATCCTGCTATCCTATCCGACTGCGGATGCTTCAGACAATTTTATGGATCTGGGAGAAGGTTTTCCTTGTATATGTCATATGTTGGCTCCAGCATTGATTCGATGTGCAGCTACAGCCATCGATTATTCATCTGCAAAGTTATCGCTGAAACATCGTCACTAAGATAACTCGTGTTTACACTAGGGTAAATTCTTCTAGAACGCAGGTGCGTCTATTCGACCTATCGGTGCAACTTTCACCACGAATAAGAAGATAAAATAAAATTAAAATTTTGCGCCTAAAAATAATGCCTAAACATGCGCCTAAAACAAGTGCGTTAAACTAAATGTATCGTTCGATTTTTGGTGAGCCCTAGTAGCCATAGAGTCTCTGCTGGATATAGAAGGGAGGAGAAATTCGATGGTTTTCATCGTGTAAGGAATAGCTGTCACCAGCTCTACAAAGAAATTTTTAAAAATAATAATTTCATACTAGCGTCAAGTCTCTGTCGTTTATTTTTCTGTCGTTCTCCATAATTTTGTTGCTATCGTCGTCAGTAAATACAAAAATCAGCTGTTCTCATTACGCAATAGCGCGCTTCTGCTAAATTTCGTAATTTCCGCTTATTCGGATATCGGTAGTGATATCGGCCACCGCGAGGCACTGCTATTAAGTCGATAGTTGTGTGTATAAATGTGTGATTTTGGTATTTCTGCATATTTCTTACGCCGATTCTTGAACCAGGTTGGCAGTCCGATTGCGCTGCGTATTTGAAGAGATTGGCAACGCTACGACAGAACAAAAAGCGTGAAAAAAAAGGAAAAACTTTTCCGGGAGCATCGAAATCCGTCTGCGCAGGACAGCTTTAAGTGGAGACTACGATAAATTGGACTCAGGTCTTAGCTCAGCAGAATGGGAAGCATTGCAAATGCAAAAATCGTGGGCTACATCTGCCGCCTGTGCGTTCAGGCACACAGCATCGTGATCCACTTGTACAGCGATAGAGCCTCCGCGTTGAAGCTAATTGAGAAACTCCAATTCCATTTGGATCTCACCATTTCACAGGAGGATATTCGCCCCAAAGTGATCTGCCTAGAATGCTTTGCTCGTATCGAGGAAATCCATCGTCTCTGGCAGTCCGAGCGTCCTGCCCAAGATACAGAAAAAGTTCCTCAAAAAGATAAAGAAGATACACAAAAGGACGGCGACGATTCCTCCGATGCGGCCCCGATGGCCCCAAACGTGTCTAATGACTAGAGCGATGACCATCTGATCGATCTGTGCTTGCATCTACATTTACAAGACTACATTTAACTTCACACTGAACCTGAAATCGATCTCAATCTACTCAATATACCAACACTCCAGCGGTAAGGCTTACTCTAAGCTGCCACTTCTTTAATAATTATCTCTTCGATATCTTTCACAGGATCCCTCTAAAGACGTACCAGCCTGAAGCTCAACAGCCAATGTGATTGTTTATGAAAGCAATGAATTTCTAAAGCCTTTAAATAATAAAAAGTGCTAAAAAATACCTATAAAAAGCCTGTGGGCTGCCGTGGTCTGTCGGATGCTGTGTGTTCGCTTGTTAGATATTGTAAGGTCCCGAAGCTCGGGCATAGACTCCAGGGCTACCGTTTGAACATGGTCCCATATTCGACCATAAACGAGGTGCCAGCACGAGCATGTTTTTGAAATTAAAAGCAGACCACACTTGACTATTTGGGGGATCCGAGGAATAAGCTGACGGCATTTGCTGACAGAATACAAGTTGTGTATGTGCATAGATATTTTTCCGTTTGAAATCCGTAGTACAACTCCTCTGAACAATCAGAGCACTTCAGCCTGCTTAGACAGCAGAAAGGTACTCCGCTCTACCTTGCGATTGTATGGTCGTTATTGTTTTGTCTCCTTTGTTTATGTTTTTCTGGCCAGTTTTTCTTCTTCTTTCTGTGGTTGTGTGTGTGTGTGGTTTTTTTTGGGGGGCATTCTAATGAAAACATTGCGTGAAAGTGAGAACTAAACATTAAGAAAACAAAAAGCCAGCACTCGCCGACCCACACTGGGCCCAGTGTTGCACAATAAACAAAAACAAAAACAAGAAATAAAGGGCAAGGGAAAGGAAAACGAAAAAAGGGTTCAACTCCTCGGGAACAAACAAAGCCCCGTCCACAAGGGGGCGACAGCGGTGGGGAGTCCAAGCGAAATGTGTTTGTCATATGCAAAACAAAGCCAGGCATTGTGGAAAAAGGCAAAAGCGAATCAGTGGGTGAAGTAAATGAAAACAGCGCCACAGGGAACGGAACGTTGGGGGGAAGGGCGGAAAGCTCAGGCAAAAAAATGTGGCCAAAAATGCGGCCAACAATTTGGAAAACTCCAGAGAAGAACCTAAGCTCCAAGAACTCGATTCAAATTGGATATTAAGCGATGAAAGTACACTAAAATCCGATTGGAATCAAGAAACAGATTAAGACGACCCCAAGGCACTTCATGAGAATCGCCAATTAATTCAAGCTCTTACGCTGATTCCTCCTGGGCAAGAAATCGATCAAAGTGTTGTCAAAAATTGGGAGGGGGGAAAAGAGTTGGAAAACGCCAGAAAATGCGAGAATGGTAGAAAGCAAGAACTAACAATTGATTATCTATGTATGTAAGTAAATAATAAAGTGTGAAGAGCAATTCCCTAATGAAAACAATCCTTCAACCTTCATGCCAAGGTGTCACACAACACTCTCAGTTGCTGCCCCAAATACTCGTACATATAATAATTCTATAACAAATCAAGGCATGTGTAATCTTTGCTGAGCAATTTCTAAAAGAAGAGTCAGCCATCCCAATGCCTGGCATAGCAAAACTTTAGGCTCTGCCAAAGTGAAGAACCCTTCCTAAACTTAAGCCACGAGTGCAGCACCATCTTCTCTACTTCCGGACGGATTGTGAGAGTGACATTTTAGTCATAGTTGGTTACTTGTCAGTGCATGTCCATGTCCTGGTCCTGGTCCTGGTCCTGGACCCGACGGTCATCGGGCACATCCTGTCAGGTGGCGGCAGGCGATGGCAGGTGGTGGTAGGTGCCACAGTGTCGACGAGAAATTCGGTTTCATTTTCAAGTTGTGTGAGTCACACCGCAAGAACTCGGACTCCCAGACTCGAGTCTCCCCAGTGCCTTCTCCACCACCACCAACACCACCACCACCACCACCACCAAAAGTAGCTCAGCCTCTGTCAGTCGGCTGCCAGTCGGTGTCCTGTGGGCTGCGTACTGTGGACTGTGCTGTCATGTGTGACGCGTGGTTAAAAATTTGATATCCTTGAGCGCATAGGCAAAAACAAAGCCCATGCCCATGTACATGTACATATCACTCGGGCATGGAGAGTAGGCAGGGGAATATGGCAGGGAATATTGTAAAATAAAAAGTAATTTGAACATGAAGAGAAGGATGAAATGAAAGCAGAGGCAGAAGCAGAATGAGGCGCACTGACACGAAGGACAAAAGCAAATTGCTTCGAAGACCAAGTCAATTGCGAGCCCAAAGAAAATCAATGACTCGCATGGGTCACAGATTGATGTATAAAATATAGATATTCGTACGAGTATCCAATATACACGCACGCATGACTGCGATGGACTAGCATGTGTCCTGTACTGTAGGTCGTGCTATCTAATTTTAGTTCATAGCTCGGAAGGAGGGACGCCTCTCAGGCTCTGGACACTCAGCTCGAACTGATTGAATTTTCCATTGCTATACTATCTACCACGAATATGTCATGTGTACGCAGGCTTGCTCATTCTCTCTACCAGAAAAGCAAGTAGAGAGTGAGCGAGAAGAAAAAACCGAAATTTTCGAATTTGACACAGTAAAACTGACTATACCCGATTTGTGCAGTCCGTTTTGGATGAGCGAATCCATGGAAATAGAAAGCTGAATCCCACCGTATTGATTCGGTTGCCTGTTTCTGCAGGGATCTAATGTAGATCTCTTTCTGGACGTTGTGGGGTTGTTGGATTCCTGGCAGCAGGATCGATGTGGCTCTGAGAAAGTGGGTTGTCTCACAGATTGCTACGGCTCCGCATTTTCATTCCCTATTTGATGCAGTGCATGGTCTCTTGATCTCAAAGATGTGGAATTGGATTCGATGGTAGTACTATTCACTTTTTCGAGCACTTGCTTGAGCTGTAGAATAGTATGGCAAATCGTCGCTTAAAGACCAGCAACGGATGGCAATTTTTGAGCCAAACAATGGTTGCAATGTTGCAAGCCAACACTCGAACCCACAATTTCGATTCTCGGCATGCACAAATGATGTATGTGGGCATGTTCAGGGCATGGCCACCATTAAAGGATTTCTTCGTTGGCCGGAGGGGGCCTGCGAGTAGTTTGCAATTTCAATCTAATTTCACGAGTTGCAAAGTCGCATAGACTTTTATTCCCATTTCGGTTGCCTCTGCCATTGTGTGGCAAATGGCTGAGGAGGGGGTGGGGTGCGGTGCGGTGCAATGCCATGGTCCCTGTACCCCTGAACGATTTATATGCGTTGCACGCAGCGAGAGAGACAGACAGAGAAAGGGGCAAACGAAATGGCAATCCAAATGGCCAAAGTGCAGTTGAAATGGGGATAAAGAAGGGTAAAGTGAGCCGCACAAAGGGTGGATGCGGGGGGCGGCCGGTCACATGCCCCTCACCGAACCCCTCACAGGTGTGGCGGAGGTAGGAGGCAGGAGGCAGGACTCGACCGGCAGCAAATAAATAATATTTCTGCCCCGCTTTCGGGGCTGTGAAAGTTTTCGTTTCATTTCTGTGCAACCGTTTGGGGCGACACTGCTGCCAGGATGTTTCAGGATGTTGCCGCCAGCCTTGGGCCAGGGCAGGGCTGCGCAGTCCTGTGCTGTACTGTGCTCTTCTGGTCCTCTTATTGCTGGCCACGTTTTTATAGGCAAATGCAGTGGCATGTTTCGCATAGCGTGTGCAACATAAATTCACTTACCTGTCGCACACACACACACGCACACACAATCATACAGGACTCTCACAGATACAGATACATTCGCTGCAGGTGCAGGGCTCCCCCGCCCTTTTTCTCTGTGCCACATGTCTGTGCCTCGCAACAGTTGCTGGTTTATGGAAATTAAGCAAGTTTTATATCCTCGCAAACGGGTTGAATACCTAAACGATCTGAAATGCCGCCGTGTTTGTATGTCCGAGGATATATCTGCGGGCTATATTTAAGCCGGATTTGGCCGAGGTCATCCTGAAATTGCATCCGTGTGCGGCAGTGTTGTAAGATTGGGGTTAAGATAGCACAAATCTCAGGGATAAGTTGATTTATGCTTTCAAATCCCCAATCAGTTGGGGTCCAGGCTTGAAAGAGATGCCGAGGATATGGCAAAAATATGAAGAATAGAACGAAGGGAGTGAGACGAGAAGGAGTGCAGGAGTCAAACGAGATCGCGACAACCACTTTGCTACTTTGGATATTAACAATTTGGGACAGACATATCCAATGTCTACAGAAGGAATACGAGGGATAAAAGATAAATGAAAGATGGACTACGTTTGAAAGAGAATGATATTTATATCTCTTTATGGAACGAAGTCTATAAATAAAATACAGATGCAGATATGAAGGAATTTTCGCTTAAAATCGAATGGAATTTAATAGAAATTCTCGTTGAACTCAATGGATTCCCAAGAGAACAACATTCAGAGATGAATGACAATAAATAGAGCCATGAATGATACAAATGTACCAAGAGGCATACCATGAATGGCTATGAATGGCTATGTTGCAATTTAAAGAAATGAATTGTTAACAGTAAACTGTTAACTGTATTTTTTGCCTAGCCCCCGCTCTTTCGTGGGGGGAAATATACCATCAATGTGCTTTCTAGCTTGCCTTTTCTGATCTTGTATATATAATCCTTATTGAACGCGTTAAACTCCATAAATCCAAGAAAAACCTAAGAGAAGGGCATTCTAAACCTATCCATTACCCGTTGACCCTTTGTCTATGCTTTTCCTCCCTTTCCAAGGGTATGATATACTTCGATGCCGCCGTTTTCACCCTGTCCGAACACCGGAGTACTACATTGTCCTTTGCTGTTGTGTACGTAAACCCTTTTCCCCATTCGCTTCACTTCACTCCACTCTACTCCACACAATGCCAGGCCCCATATTTGGCCACAGCAAACATTTATTGCTTCAGCCCCGCTCAAGACAAAACAAAACCCACGAGGAGCGAGCAGTACGGAAAAAGCAAAAAGTAAAGAAAAAAAATCAAAAGCAAAAACAAAACCGGGAGTGAAAATCACCATACAAATGTAAGGAACAATGAGGAACAACGCCGGCAAAAACGGGGGAAACAACAACAGGCGACAATTGCAACGTGTCAGAGCGACGTTCGTTGCATATTAGTTAAGCACACACACACCGACAGACAGACAGGCAGACAGACAGAGACAGAGAGAGAAAGCAAGAGAGAGAAAGAGTGCCACACAAATGCATCTTACTGAGCCTCAGCCTCAGTCCGTGCCTGTGTATGGGTGTCTATGTATGTGCTGGCACACGGGGCGTATGCCCAATGGTTTTTTTTTCACTCACAACTGCGTCGAGGAGCCATATGCCAACATCCGGTTTTCGCACGCGCGCACACACACACACACATACTAGGGCACACAATGAACGATAAAAATGGCGATGGCGGTGGCGGAGACGGATGCAGAGGCAGAGGCAGAGGGGCAGGTATAGAGCCGTAGAGCTGAAGCTGTTTCAAGCCCCAATGACAACAAATGGACCATTTTCCGACCTACCTCCCCCTTATTTATACACGGTACTCGTAAATTACTTACAGGAGGAACTAGCATGCTCTAGCATATGTAAGGAGCAGACGAAAGTCCTTGCAGGCCGCATTAAAAATACGAGTATGCATACATACATGTATTCTTGATCAGCATAAACGTCTTTCTATCTATTCGGCAATATGGCAACCTCTTGAGCACTGAGATTACAACTAATCTGGAATTATTTAAAAGCGTTTTTCGGATATATAGATCTGAATGCACAAGAAATAAATCCAAGTAGCGGGTATCTCACTGTCGGCTTAAGTTTTTTGAATAGTCTGAAGACCTCGAGGATGAGAAAGTACCAGCAGCAGGAGAGAACGCAGAAACAGCAGCCCGAGACAGAGAAGAAGTGCACCAATTACTAGAGGATATGGCACAGTGCTGCTGCAATCGCCAACTGTTGCGGTCAATTAATGAACATCACGACGACGACAGGACCAGGCGGCTGCCAAACCGAAGTGATTCAGATTGGCGAAGGCAATCACTACCACAAAACGGTTTGTTACCACAACACCGGAGATTATGCAGGTGGGCGAAAAGCGCTTCGATTGGATGGGGGAAAAACTCCATTTCCGAAGTGCCTTGATTACGGTTCAAGTGCCCAGAAATTGGCCTCTGGAAGCAGCTCTTGGAGTCTATTATGGTTTGGCCATCAACCGACACAAACAAGGAATGTTTAAGCAGAAGGAAAGTGTTGGATGATGTCGAAAACGTTGATGATTGAAGGCATTCCCACGGAGCATAGAAGTACTAGCAGGACCTGCTGTGTAGAGGTAGTAATTACTGCCTCCTCTTTTGAATGGGAATAGATTTCTATGCATATGTTGCTCTTAGAACATAGCAAGTCGATGATTTCAAGAAATGATTAGTACACCCTTGGCCTCGCCCTCGCCCTCGCCATCGAGCTGGTTTGTAACCCCATTATGTCATTAACTATCAAGCCATGACTGACAGCAGTTTTAGTACGAGTATTTTTTTGTTGTTTTGTCCAGGGAGCTGGCAAGGATTGAAAACTAATTAGTGACAAGCCAGTGCAGCCATCAAGTTAATGCAATCAGAGTGGGTACAGATGATAGAGAGCGTTAGAGAGGGGCAGAGGGGCGGCGATGATTGCTTGTACCGAGAGGGTAGTACAGAGCGTGGGTTCAAAGGGGGGGCCAGTGTGAATACATTTCGATTAACGCTAAATTAGCTTTCGCTGAACTGAACGGAACGGAACAGAAGAGAAGAGACCCGAACGGAACGGAACGGAACAGAACGCAGCGGAACTGAGGCTCCGGCTCCGGCTCCGGCCATAGCAGTGTGCATCGAACAAAAGCCAAAACTGTCAGTGGCGGCTGATGACGATGCTGATGAGAGGGCGATGACGACAACGACAAGGCTGTATATTGGTATGGGGGTACTGGGTACTGTGTGGGGATGGGGGTGGGGCACTTATCTTACTGCCGTTCTGTACTGTTCCGTTATGTTCTGTTCATATCCTTGTGCATTGTCAGCCCCATTGGCCATGGCGTGTCGTCCAATGCATTTGGCTATGATTCACAACACAAAAGATGCAGCAGCAACAGCAAAAGCAGCAGCAGCAGCAGCAGCAGCATCATCCCAAGGAGGCAACGTGGAGGAGGGCCCTGTAAAAGTTCTGGGTAGCGGATAAATAGATGTATAAGCGGGTTCTATCTATACAAGAATCCCAGCCCCAGCCCCAAACCCAATCTTTGGTTGGGTGTCGGTGTGTCTGGCAATTTGCTAGGCAAAAGCTGACAAAACAAGTCCCTGACCCCAAAATGAAGGCAACAAAAAGCGTTGGCTGCTTTGTCAGCTTTCATCCCCGCACCACCCCACCCCTCCCTTATCCTTATAACCCGCCCCAGTCGGCCCCTTGGGCTCTATGCTAATAACCAATATTTTAGAGCCAAACCGCCGTCTGCCGTTGAAATTGTCGCCAGCAACAAAAGCAACACACAGAGGGATAGAAGGGAAAAAAAAGCAAGAATGGAAGGATTTGGGCTTCGGTAGGTGGAACTCTGGATACCCTTGCCGAGTCGTTGATATAGTCATTGGATGTGGATCAGTCTCGGACACGCCCTACAAAGAAAACACATCCAATTTGTATCGCCACAGATGGTTCAAATGGATGAGAAATGTTTTCTCTTCTGGAAGAAAGCATAAATACCCTCTTTAAGGGTATACGAAAAAGTTTTCACAGATAGCTGAATCATGCCGCTGACAAAGGAGCCGTTGCTAGGTGATGGCGGGGTCGGGTTCGGGCCCGGGCCCGGGGTCTGGGCGGGTGATGCTAGAAGGAAGTCGAGAATGGGAGGTTCACTACAAGGCATTAATTTAACAGGATAATTGAAAATGAATAGTTGCATGTGACCCGGAGTCAGAGCCTGAGTCTGAGCAGAGCGGAGGGGTGTAGAGCCGGGGTAGAGGGACCACGTGGGGGCGACAGCATCCGTATATGCGACAAATCAATGCGGAACCCGGAAGGGACCGAAGATAATAATTTAGAGGGAATTTCCCTTGAGCCGAAAGGGGGATTGGGGATGAGAAGTCTTTGATATTTATTTATGGACTATTTTAAATTCATTCATATGTCATTCGTGATGTCTTTGTACATAATTCAAAGATAATGAAATCGATCGATCAAAGTTTTATTTAGGGTTCATTTATTTTGGGATTGTAGAATATCCTTTGTTCTTTAATGGTTGATTTGATGGCACACAAAAAACTATCTGTGAACAAAGTCTTTTCATTATCTTATGTATCTTAAGCATAAATTATTGACCAGCAATTTAGATTCCTTTCATAATATTTCGATCATATGATACTTATTAAAGAATTGAGAACACTTTTTGGAGATATTTCATTGAAAATATCCAAATATTTACATAAAGATACAGATATGTATGTATATTGGTTTAGATCTATTATATGTAGCTTACCTTTAGCCACTAGCTCATATGCTTTGTGGTCAATGAGGGCTTTGCCTGGGGCTGCGATTGTGATTGCAATTATTTGGTTTAGATTTCGATATTTGGTTTGGTTTGTGTGATTCGTGTTTTGGTTGATTTGATTTAAAGAGAATTTTACATGAAGAATTTGTGATTAGAAACACTTTAGATTTATGTTTTAGATTTAAGGCTTAGAGATTGATGTCTGTTTTTTTTTTTTTTTGGGCTGTGGTTCGGGCTTCGGCTTCTTAGTTTGCCCCTATGCAACATTGGTTCTTGGCTCCAAGTTGGTAATAGTATCGTACAACAAAATTGAACTTGGCAAACAGAACGAACGAACGAACGAACGAAGGAACGAACGGATCAAACGAACGGGGGAACTACGAGTACGATTACGAAATGGAAATTACTCAATTTTACTGGACTACCATGAAGAGTTTTGTGTTCTAGTTGTATTGATGGTTCAATTTAGGCGATGATCGGTAGGCGATCGATCTATTGATAAGTCCCATTAATGTCAGTCGAGTGGGTGTGTGTGTGTGTGTGTGTGTGTGTGTGTGAGTGTGCGTATGCGTGGCATGAGGCGTGTGGCATTCATAAAACGAGCAATCGATAACCAGAAGCTGATGAAGGATGTTCGATTCGAGCATGCAGAGAGAGAGATAGAGAGAGAGAGAGTCTTGATGGGGTTTGATTCGTTTTTGGTTAGGAAGCAAGCAAATCGTTTATGTGAGGATTTCTTATTAACAGTTTTGGTGTTTGGTGTTTGATGTTCGATGGAGGGAAGTCTGAAGTGCAAGCCAATCATTGGGTATTTTTTTTTGTTTTGGGTGGTTATCTGGAGAAACGAGAAACGATGGAAACCGTTTTTTCTCTATGTTTTCAATTCAATTTCGGAAAACAAATCGAGTTGCGAAAAGTTTGTTTGTTGTGGGAGAATAAAGTGAATAAAAGTTCAAGACATGTTAGGAAATAGGCAGAACAAGATAGACAGAGATAGATAGAGAGATAGAGAGTGAGAGAGAATGACAGAGAAAGACAGACAGTTGGTTATATGTATATATACATTTATATTTATACTCGTATATAGAACAGAACAGAAAAGAATGAAATGTTATTTGGTTGTTGTCAGGAGTCTAGAATCTAGAATCTAAAGTGGAGCATGACAAGGCACGAAAGGAAGGAAAGGAGAGATGGGTATATATATATAGTTAAATATCCGCAACTCGATTTTAAGTTTTTAAAAAAAATACTTTTATTTTACAAACTTAAATATCTTTATGTCACAAGATTTAAATGAATTCCCCGACTTGACTTTCGGTCTGCTTGTCTCAAACGGAACTGATCTCTCTGCTGCTGGCTAGTTTCCATGAGCCCTTCTCTTGGAACTCCCGACTCTGGCTTCGGGCGTTGCTTTCCTCGGCTGCATCTTCGTGTCGGTGGCGTACGTGCCTGGATCGATATTTGGGGATGCGTCGGCTTTGATGAAAGGCATCCACTGCTGGCGATCGGTGTTGCATTACATGACGGAGCTAGGAATGTGATACTCCTTGGTTTTATGTCTAGCTTTGATTGGTCCTCATGAGTGGCGTGATTCTAAAGAATCGATTTCTCGAGAGTGGCGTGATTCTAATGTTGCTGAAACAATGTGGTCCATTGTTTATATTATGGGGGGCCCTAGCTTGGAGTATGGGAAGAAACAGTTATTGATTCTTGAGTGGGGTCCTGTTACTTGTGTGGATGGGGTGGATGAATTGTACATAAACATAATGTGTATGGGATGTGGGGAATTATGGATATGTCACTCCCCCAACGTTTGTTATTAGCCTGTCCCTAGGCGATTACCCTCGGGTATAGTGACGGGGTGTCAAGTGCGGTGGCTGAGGTTGGTTCCTCTTCTGCTTCTATTATAGGGTTTATACATTTAACCGTGACTCTTTTAGAAGTTTTCGTAAATTTAACAGCTACATAACTTAGTAGTACTAATATAATTATGACAAATAAAATTAGTAGACTTATTTGTAATAGGTTACTATATGTGGTGTATTGCATAATTATTTCATTAGTTTGGACATACGACAGTGGTTTTATTTTAGTTATGTTGTTGTTGACATAAACATTCTGGGCAAAATCTAACATTGTGTTTGATATTGTAAATTCATTTAATTGGATTGAACAGTTGTAGATTTTTATAATGGTATTTCCTTCCGCTATGATTTCTTGGTTTACACAATTCTGATTTAGCGTTGTTTTTGGAAGATTCCACGTGATTAGTATATTGGGTTCAATAAAGTTTATTTGAAAGTTTTGAAATGTTTTGGAATATGGACATTTAGTGGGAGTTTGCATTAAAATTCCTTTTATACAATTGTCATTGGTTTTCAATCTAGTTTCTTTAACAAATACTTCTTCATTTTTTATGTAGTACTTGTCGTATGTCATATCTGTTAACATGTTATTTAATTCGTCTGGATACGGAACGATTTTATAGATTGGTACTTTTGTAATGTCTTTGGGAATGTTGGAAATTATTAGAATTTCGTTGGTATCGGATTTTAGCCATGTGGAGGTTTTTATATTTAGTATTTTCTCAGAATTTATTTGTTCCAGGTAGTCTTGTTTTAATAATTTTGGATTAAATATACCGAGCCTAGTTAATTGCATACCTAGTTCTATATCTTCGATATATTCTGTGAAATGTTGTAGATTGAATATCAAAATTTCTATTTGTTGATTCCTGTCTTTTTCTTCATTTAGTTTGTTTATAACGTTTATTCCGCTATTAACTGCATCTATTACCAAATTTAGTTCATTCATTTGAATACTATGGCTGGCTAAATTTTCTATTTTTTGTTCCAAATCGACTTTATCTTCCTGATCTAGTGTTCCAAAGAGATATTTGTAGGCTGTTCCTACTATATTGATCAGGCCTCTTTTATTTCTTTTGGTTATTTTTAGCCCGTTCATTTCTCTTTGCAATTTGTCTACTAGATATTTTATTTGGATTATGTCCTGGAATTTAGTGGCTTGCCTTAACAAATTTTGGTATAGTTCTTCGGTTTTAGTTACATTAACAGTTAGATAATGGTATTCGTAATTGATAGGTATGTTGATCGATCCAGTTTTGAATATCATATATCCGTTTTGGGATTTTATAGAATTTATTTCTATGTTTTGGCCCTGTGCCATTACGATGGTAATTATGAGGAAGATGAGGATTTTAATTGTGTTGAAGTTCGCCGATTCCATTAACTTCCTCGGTTTCTCTGGAATTATTATATTTGCTTCTATTAGATTTCTTCTTTTTCTTGAATTTTGATTTATAATGAGTTATTTTCCTACCCCTATTCTTTTCTTCATAATGTTTTTCGTCTACCTGTCTAATTTCACCCGTCCTTTTGAAAGGATTTGATACCTTAGACTTAACTAGAGGTGATAGTTTATAGCGGGTATCTACTTCATACTCTATGCGGTTTTTATTTAATTGAGTGATTTTATTCACTTTATTTAGTTGTGTGTCATAATCAGGTGAGCCTGCATAAATGAATATATCAGCTGGTGTCCTATTTGTGGTATTATGTTTGGTTTTATGATTATAAGTATAAAGAATTAATTCAAACTTCGTGAATCTATCTTCTGTGTTATCCTCGCTAGATATTATTCTTAATTTTTCATTTACTGTTTTATGAAATCTTTCTACGTCAGATATTCCATTTTTGCTGGAAGTGATCTCTATTTTGACGTTTTCCGCATTCAGCCATGCTTGCAATGCTGTGCACATAAAAGCTGAATCTTTATCGGCTTTGATTTCAATTGGTTTGCCCATCTCGTTAAAAACTTTCATGATGGCTCTTTTTGCTTCTAACCAGTCACGACTTTTTACTTCTACAAGAGTGGCAAACTTCGAGTATACGTCAATACATGATAGGAACTGTTGGTTACCAACCATATAGAAATCCATGACGTATTTCTCTCTGATGTTCAGTATTTCCGGTGTAGTTTCGAATGCCAACTTCGTATTTCTATGCTCTGTTTTGGCAATATTACAAGTAGGACATTCGTTTATGATGTTTTGGATTAGTTTTTGATAATCCGGGTAATAGTATTTTCCCCTAAACCAATTGACGGTTTTCTCTATCCCTGGATGGAGTAAGCCTTTATGATTCTTTAATATGGTTTCTTTAAATTCAGCGTAATTCTGAATATCTAGGAGTTTCGTGCTTGATTTAATAGCTTTGGTTATATTGTTAGAATTAATGATTTCTAAATAGGCTTTTTGGAATGGAGGAAAATCTGTTTCGTTATGGAAATATAATGCGCTCTTTTTGGTGCATAGATATTCCTTTATTATATCCTTCGCTAAGGTGTTAGTCATTTCCTTATACGTGATCTTGATGATTAGCTTGTGAAAATAACGAATTGTTTCTACCTTATCTTCATTGCCTTTTATTAGCTCAATTTGCCGATTGTAATAGTTAATTGGTCTTTCCGTGATAGCAATGTGATTTAGATTGTCTTCCTGTGCGCTATGTACAGTTGCACCAACGCTATTGGAAGCTTCTCCCAGGAGATTTTCATTAATCCTTACCCTTGATAAGGCATCAGCTACATGATTTTCTTTGCCTGGTAGATATTTCATTTTAAAATCAAACTCATTCAGTTTTATTTTCCACCTTTGTAATTTCATATTTGGCTCCTTGAGGTTGTTCAACCAAATCAAGGGTTTATGATCGCTTTGTATCTCGAATGTTCTACCGAACAGGTATGAACGGAAATACTTGGTTGCCCATACGATCGCTAATAATTCCTTTTCGATGGCTGAATAGTTTATTTCATGTTCATTTAGGGTTCTGCTAGCGTAGCAGATCGGTTTGTGTTCTTGTGACAAAACCGCTCCCAATGCTATGTTACTAGCGTCGGTTGTTACCGTGAACATTTTGTCAAAGTCTGGGAACGCAAGGATAGGGTCTGAGGTGATGAGTACTTTTAGTCTCTCAAATGCCTCGACGTACTTTTCTTCCTTGGGGTCTATGACAGCTCCTTTCTTTAGTTTG